TATTTTATTTTATTTTATTTTATATTTTATTCATCTTTTCTTTACGGAGGATGTGTGACGGCTGAATTTGGGGGTAAGATGGATTTCAGGGGTTGTCTTTGTGCCACTTTCTGCAGAACAAAGAGATCGAGGGTTTGCAGTGGATTGCGATTCCCCCGCGGACGACGCTCCCGGAGGTTCTTTGGAGTCGGACGCGACTCCTTTTCAGACTCCGTCGGGTAACGTGGACGAGCCGGACGCTGTAGCCATTTTGCCCACACCCAGCGACATCTTGGTCTCCTACTCAACTTTTCCAGGTGAGAAAATCCTTTGCTGGGTACTGGGGAGTTAGGAAAAATATCGGAGCTTCACAGCCAAAGTCAGGGGCAGTTTGGAGCCGCTGGGTGCGTTGGAGACGGCACTCGGGGAGCGGCGGTAACTCGGTGAGGTGAGAACAGAAGAGTGGCTTTAGCGGTGATGTTCTCATCCTTGCTCTGAAGGTTTTGTCTCCTGGAGGGAGGCGTCGAGCGGCTCGTGGTACGTGGAGACGCTGGACAGCGTGCTGGAGCAATACGCCCGTTCGGAAGATCTGCTGAACATGTTACTGCGGGTAAATGTCTTTATTTCATGCTTTTTGTAGTCCTGGTGAAGGAAATGATCAGAGGTGCAGTCAATCAGTCAGGGCACGGAGGCCTGTGCTTCCAAAAGGAATGGTGATATCCAGCTAATGGATGGGCTGATTGGAGGTGCTGTGGAGAGGTCTCGTTAGGAAGAAAGCGTCTGGCCTCGACCTGCCAAAAATCACCTCGAGGTTTCTCTAGTGAGGAGTAATCCTGAAAATCCAGGCTTGAATCTTTCCCGAGGGAATTGCTGAAACATTGCGTCTCCTCCTCAAAAGTCCACGCTGACAGGACTCGGGGCACGTGTCTGGGCAGGTGACGCTCTGGGGGACGGACCCGCTGGCTCTCTAGCGCCTGGCAATGTCCCCGGGTGCTCCCTCTGCTGCTCCTGTGACACCGGGGTGAATCTTGAGGAGCATCTCACCCTCAGGAAGGTGATGCCAGGTGTTTGTGTTCACGTGCAGGGAATGCAGAACCAGCGTGGCTAATTAATGTTTTCCTTTGTGTGAAGACTCCCAAAGCTGGGGACAAGCATTAGGTACTTCCAGGCACTTTAACTGTTCTCCTGGAGTGGAGAAATGTCTTTTATGGAGGCAGCAGGGCAGAGAGCACCCACTTGTTTTTTGTTTTCCTGATGTCACGGAGCTTCTTTGGCACGTGGTGGCACAGCAGCTATCGATTTCCAGGGAGTTGTACGAGACCCTCTCCGGGCCAGCTGGGGTTTGGTGCGAGGGAAGCGGCCCTGGGGGAATGACAGGCACGTCTGGAAGAAAATGGGTGGAAAGGGAATTTGCTTTTAAGTAAAAACCTGAGTGCCAAGAGGGGGTTGTGGTTCACGCGGAGAAGCAGCGGTGGCTGGAACGGCCGAGGTTTCTTGAAAGGCTCTTTACCCTTGAGTCTCCTTTAGTTTTGCTGGTGAAAACGGGAAGGACTTTTCATAAGGGCAGTTAGTGACAAAACAAGGGGAAATGGGTTTAAGCTGAAAGAGGGGAGGTTTAGATGAGATATTAGGAAGAAGTTCTTCACTGTGAGGGTGGTGAGCCAGTGTCCCAGGTTGGCCAGAGAAGCTGTGGCTGCTCCTCCCTGGAAGTGTTCAAGGCCAGGTTGGATGAGGCTTTGAGCAACCTGGTCTAGTGGAAGGTGTCCCTGCTGCTGGCAGGGGGGTTGGGACTGGATGAGCTTTAAGGTCCCTTCCAACCCAAACCATTCTATGTCTCATTTTAGGAGATCTGCCTGCTCTCCCATCCCCCCATCCCGTTCTCAGTCCTTGTCCCCCCGTGCTTTCCGTGAGAGGTCGTGAGTCAGTACAGCGTCCCGCTCCTCAACCGCTCTCCTTCTGTTCCCAGGTGGCAAACGCCGTCTCTGCCAAGGGGAGGTACAAGCAGATCCCCGGCTGCTTCAACTTTCTCCGTAAAAAATTCTTCTTCACGTGCAAATGACGTGCGAGCTCCGAGGTCCCCGCCGAGCGCGAGAGTTACTTCCCCACCCACGGCCGGATGAAATCTGCGCCCGCTCTGACTCGGCGTCGATTGTCCCGGTGGCCTTTGTCTGTCTGTCAAGGTGTTTGTCTTGAGAAATGGAATCTGTGAAGTAGAGAAGAGGTGGAGACGGGGGCTTTGCTGATGGGCAACGGGAGGGGTGGAGCAGGAACG